TCTAAAGGAGCTTGAGGGGTTGTGGGTGATAAAGGAGACTGAAGAAAGTGAGGCGAATTCTCTAAAGGAGCTTGAGGGGTTGTGGGTGATAAAGGAGAAAGACTTGACTATGAAGGAAAGAATCTCTAAGCAAAAACTGCTCGATGGTCTCATCACCAAATCTGAACCACTTTCAGATGTAGAATTAGCTCTCAAGAACAAGCTCATTACTGAGATGTTGTAATCTGGTTTGGTAAGTTATTCTGCTTGTTTGTTTGCTTGTTTGATAAGTCATTTGTTTCTTTGTTAATCTGGTTTGTTTGGTTAGTCATTCGGTTAGTCTGGTTTCTTTACTTTGCTTCTTGTAGACTGCATATTTGTTAGTCTGGTTTCTTTACTTTGCTTCTTGTAGACTGCATATTTGTTAATCTGCTTGTTTGTTGCTGTCAATGCAGGAGACATGACCGTAGATGTATTGGGAGACCAAGTCATTTGGTAAGTCCTTTGGCTGTCTAGTAATTAGGTTATTTGGTTAGTAATTGATTAGTTCAGGACTACTTGTTGTTATTTGGTTAGTAATTGATTAGTTAAAGACTGCTTGTTGTTATTTGGTTAGTCTTTTGGATATGTTATTTGGTTATTTGGTTAGTTATTAAAGACTCTCTAGTAATTTGGTTATTTGGTTAGTCATTTGTGAAATACTGCTTGTAGTAGACTGTCTTCTTTTGTACTTTTGGACATTGATTACTTGTCTTCTTGTCAATGTGTAGGAGAAGGAGAAGAGAGATGAACGTGGATGTGTAAAATATCTTGTTGTCTTTATTGAAGTAGTTTTATTGTTGTACCAAACTATTGTGAGGAATGCAAGTTTTAAATACAAGTTGTACCAACTTGTTGATGTTGTCTTTTTGTTTCTCTACTCTTTATAAATGATGCATCGGAAACAATGTGTAATATATCTACTCTTTATTACTTTGTTTCTCTACTCTTTCTTCTACTCAATTTACTCTTTATAAATATTGCATCGGTTTACTTTGCTTCCAACTTCTTTATTACTTTGTTTACCAACTTCTAAATTTTATTTGTTTCCAATTCCTTTTTTATTCAATTTCTCTATCTTCTTCACAATAAACATCAAAAAAATTATCATGTCATCTCATCCTCACACTTCTTCTACATT